GTCCAGTAAGAGTACTATAGCCTTAGTACCTTACGCACCAATTTTGAACGTTTTGCAATATCGGTTGCAAAAATGAGGTACCTGTACCGTACGGTTTGTGCGTTCAAAATTCTTTAAATGCTGGAAGCCCATTTAGTTCGCTTCGCGCACCTTTCTATCTTAAATGAATTACTGTACCGTAAGAATTACTGTACGACCCCTGTACGTACGGTACGTACGGACCCGTACGTACGGGACCCAAGCAGTCACACGACTTTTTGGTGAGAAGCTTTCAACAAGCGATCAAAATAACCAGGGGATGGAAAAAATCACCAGTAATCAACACTTTCGCTTCACGTAACATCTCTTCAAATTCCGAATTTCTGATTCGTTTTGGTGTGAATGAAATTTATGAGTCGGCTTTCTTCTATTCGGCCTGTCGTTGAAAGATAATTCTGAAAACGTTCGTATCGGCTATTTCCGAAAACGACAGAATAAACTCGAAGTTGATGTTGTGTCGTGACAAGCTCTCAAAATTCGCATTTCTTTTTTCTTTTCTCATCAACAGAAACAACGATATACCACCATGAATCTAAACTCTGCTCTCGTCTTCCTCTCCCTTGCCGGCATCTCTGCTGGGGAATATTTCAACGAGGTTGTCATCCGCGAAGATGCCGTCCACAACAGCGCCATCCAGTCTCCTCTTCCGCACACCTACATTGAATTGTCCGAACTACCGCAATCTTTTAACTGGGGCGACCGGGATGGCAAGAGTTATTTGACGAAGTCGCTCAACCAGCACATCCCTCAGTATTGTGGAAGTTGCTGGGCCCACGGAGCCTTGTCGAGTCTCGGAGATCGAATCAAGATCGCGCGCGACGCTCAGGGCGATGACATCAATCTTAGCATCCAGTTTATTTTGAACTGCGGTACCGAAAGGTAAGTCAATGATCGTCGCTTGTTCGTGCCAGTGTCTCTTGTTACCCTTGTTGCTAACAATTTCTCAATTCTGTGAACACAGTGCGGGGTCTTGCCACGGTGGTTATGTAAGTACATGATTACGTCTTTGTATTGGTTCCTTTCTTTTGATCCCGTATAATTCATTCATACCGCAGCTGACAATTATAAATATCTTTCGATACCGATATAGCACACCTCCACGTACGAGTTCATCCAAAATACTGGATACGTCCCTTACGATACCTGTACCCCGTATGTGGCCTGCTCTGCGGAATCTACCGAAGGATTCTGCGACAAGATTGACACAACTTGTACCGCAGAAAATACTTGCAAGACTTGCGACACGTTTGGAGGAATGGGCGGCAAATGTGTGGCTTTGGATTACTTCCCAAATGCAACCGTAGCTGAGTATGGACTCATCGATTACGACCCCGATGATAAGGAGACAACCTGTCACAAGATTATGTCCGAAATTTATTCTCGTGGCCCGGTCGCAGCAACCATCAATGCGGAACCCATTGTCAAATACACAGGCGGAATTTTCTCTGACGAAGGTCATTCGGAACAAACAAACCACATCGTTGCGATTGTAGGATGGGGAACTGATAGTGAAACCGGGGTCAAATACTGGATTGTCCGCAATAGCTGGGGTCAATACTGGGGGGAGATGGGTTACATGCGGTTGGAAATGGGTAAAAACTTACTCGGTATTGAGGGCGAAATTGCATGGGCTGTTCCAGGAGAATTGTACGTTGCTCTTGTTTTAACTATGGTTTTCATCTCTACTATGTTCCTTTGCTGTAAGCAGTATTTGTGCCGGCCGCTCACTTCTATTTCGCTTTTTGTTCGTTTTAGTACCACCACAAATTACGCGTGTTACGAGGACGGTTCCAACTGCGTCCACACAGAGAAGTATGTTGATCCTTCCACGGATATTGTCGCGATGAAACGACGTTTGTCCAAAGATAGAAGTAATGAACGCAGTGCCATTGGAAACATTCGTGGCTAAACTAAAGACAATACAAACGGATATCTACTGTCGATCTGAGGTGAGATCACACAGACAAGAGATGATGCAATCCAAACCTTGAAAATGTTCAGAAAGGGAATTAGAAGGAATCTCAATCGCATTATTCACATTAGAAAACGCAACGAAGGTAAAGCTTCACTATTTCAAGCTAATCTAGTTGCAAGTTAGCTAGTTGTAATGTGTAACGAATGAATAAAAATTGCGTAGTGTACAAATAGAAAATGTTGAATTGCATACTTACTATGAAAATGTCCATGAGCTGTCATGGTGTTTGTTCATTCCAAAGTACCAGGATGTCGTCGACAAAAAAAGGCGGAAATTGAGGCAAAAATCAAAGATGAGATACAGTACGGTAATTGGAGAAATAGTTTTTGAAAAGAAGCAAAAAACTGTTTGCATCGCATAAGGACCCTTTGCTTGATTGAAATGACGTTTCAAGGGCTGTGATGGACGATATTTTTCTTCCAGAATAGATAAAACGAGACAAAAGTGGGGGTCATAAAACATCCCTTTCGGGGTGCAGTTTTGTCACGTAAGCCATTCCCTTTCGGGAAGACTTTTCTAATTTCTTTCCTGGAGTGTAATGCAGTCCTTAGGGGTCATGAAAAGGTGTCTTACCTTCTCTGGAAAATTCGAACTTGTCAATGAATTCCGTACATTCAACGTTGTATCAATGCCACTTTCGCACCGTAGCCTCAAAAGATTGTTTTCTTTGCCACAAAACTCACGCATTGATACTCTGTTTTCATCATGGAGCGTTGATCTGCAGTGTAATAGCATTGTATGCCGGTCTTTTCTTCCAAAATTTCGAATCCAACTTTTTCCAAAATCACCTTGACATCGTCGTAAGATAAATCGATACTCGTGAAGTATCGATCGTCGAGTAGGCTGTATCTTCGACGACAATCCTGGAGAGAATTATCGCCGGGTCTCATTGGAGGTCCACACCAATGGTACAAAAGAGGACCCAGGTTTACTAATATGCCTCCAGGCTTCAACATCTTGTAAATCACTTGCAGGGTTTCAACTATGTTTGGTGTAGCATCTAAGAAAAAACATGAGGCAACGCAGTCCCATTGTCCCGCTTCTTGATCATGATTATAAATGGAAACAAAATCGCCACCAGCCATGGAAAATTCAGGGACTTGTTTTGATTCCGTTGCTTCTTCGTCCTGAATTGGTGGCATCAAAATTGCCACTGGGTCTACATCAGGAATCTGAATTGTGCGAAGAGGGTCGGTAGATTTATGAACGTTTCGAGATTCTTGCAACCATGGAGAAATATGGAGAGGCCGTTCCGGATTGCAGAAGTTGCCACCATTATTCAAGATAAAATCCGATGCTAAAAGCATGTACAAAGAAAACTCGTTGCCTTGAACGCTATAGCCCATGGCTGCCAAGTCGAAGGCAAGTCGTCCTACTCCAGCCCCGGGAACTACGATTCTCGGTATCCATCGAAAATCCGAAGACAGTGACTCTAGCGGCAAATATTTGTGGATGAGTGCCTTAATGGGAGAATAGGCCATATCACGCTCGACCCTACCGTCCTCTGACCAATCACGAGAAAGACTTTTCAAAACAGATGATACTTTTGATATTTGATCATCCGTGACATAACGTTTGGCAGCATCGACGTCAAGGCTTTCCCGCTGCTGAGAATGGGGCTGCCCAGCATGCTTTAGTATACAGTCCAAACAAAATTGATTCCGAATCGTCGCATCTCTATAATCTTTGAAACGCTTTGTGCATTCTGGAGCACCAATTTTCAGGCCGACAGGAAGGAGCTTCCGCTGAGAGTCAGACAATGCCTTCAATCGGAAGTCGCGCTGTCTCAACTGGGATATTGAAAAATCCCCATACTGGCGATAAGCGGTACAGACGCTTTCGAAGTGTCTCTGTTCATCGTCATTACTTTTGTTGACATTGCAATTGGCATCGTCATCGCAACGAATACAATGCTGATTCTGAGAGGAGGAAGAGACTTGTTGCGTGGCGTCGTCTTTGCCCATACTATGCTGCACTCTCCTCTCTCTTCTTCCCTTCCTGTGGAAGAAAAAATAATGAGAGCTGGCGGTACTTAATAAAAAAATCTTTCTGTATTTCTCTTGATAACCTACCGGTAGTTGGTTGTAAATCAACGCAATCCCGTAGCGTACCATATGGTACGAAGATTGCACCAGATCACCCCTGGATTGCACATCATCGTCATGATTGATGTTGACACCTACCGTAAAGCGCGTACTGGAAACACAGGAAAATCCTTCAGCTGAGAGATTCCGATGTTTTGGATTTGTGGTGGAGAATTGAGAGGCTGTCCCCCACACACTCCCTACGGCTGGTCGTTATACGAAAAGATGAAGTAAATGAACCACCAATGAAAAACTTCCACGCTTCAGCTTAAACGAAACTGAAGGAATACTACGCATTGTGGATGAATTGAAACTACGTTTCACAGGGCGTTCCCAATGTTAATTTAGCATTCCAAATGTTAAATGAGTACGTACCTACTGTGGTTTTTGCTTCAATTTAACCTCCTGAATGCTCTCCTAAACAGTCTGAAAGTTAGCAGGGGAGGCATCCTCTTCTTCCTCTTTTTTAGATCCCTTCTTCCTTTTTTAGTTACTGAATGAAGAATGCGGATTGCATAATACTAGGATCTACATAGGCCTACGCCATAATTTTAACATTCCGTACCTTAAATTAACATTTGGAACGGTTTTTCTAACATTGGCGGGAATATTAAATTAACATTGGGAACACCCTGTGAAACGCACTAGTTTCAATTGATCCACAACACGTACATACAGTATGTAGGACTTATACTACAGTACTGTAATGTACAGGGGTACATGCGCATTGCAGGCAAGCCAGCAAGCCCTGGAGGTTCAGAATTGCCTTTAACTTGCCAGCACTGCTGGAATTGCACTTAGTAGCTCTAGTAAGTACTGATACTCTTTCCAAGTTTAGTAGTAGTATGTATTGTATCAAGTCAAGTACAGGGGTCATAATTTAGAGGGGTGTGCATCAAAAAAATTTGTCCATCATGTACAACATACGGTAGCATCAGATAAAAAGAGAAACTCATATTCCACGTGTGGTCCAAATTTCCAAAAAGTCCCCAAAGGTTTTTTTTCATTCTCATTTTTTCTGCATAATACTAGTAAAATTTCCAACCTTTAAGCAGTTACAGCTTTATCAAAAATACTACTATTTTAATTTTTGAGTAGCCAGTCTAGTCCAGTTTTTCATGCTGATTCTTAATATACCATTTTTTTATATAAAATTGATATTTGTGGTGCTATTTTACTATTGAAAAAGAACATAATTTCCCTTCATACTGGTGATCAATATGGACACTGAATATTGAGGATGATATTAAGGATGACACTTAATACTGACGCTGATATGGAGGTCTGTCTGTTGCACCAAAAGAATGACATGGAGGATTCTGAATACGAAGGATGCTGCATACTGGCAAACAATATGGACACTAAATATGGAGAATGGTATTAAGGAAGACGCTTACTACTGACGCTGATATGGAGGACTGTCTACAATTATGATCTATGATTATGTCAGTATTGGTGCAGATTCATCAAGCAGCTGATGCTAAGGACGCTGAACAGCACAGAGGATTCTAAATACAGATATTAGATATGGAAGACGCTGAAACCTGATGCTGATATGGGCGACTAATACAATGGAGGATGATGAATACAAAGGATGCTAAAGATGGACACTGAATATAAAGGACGTATTCAGCGTTCATATTTAACATCCTCCTGAGATGGAGGACGCTGGTGATATGACCAACTGGCACGAGTCCTCCTCATCAATAGCTGCTTAAGAACTTGAAAAGAAAGCTTCTGTTAACATTGTGGCATGTGTTTCTAGAAGGTTCGTAGTATGTAAGCACTCTTAAATGCTCTCACAGACTTCGTGTAACTCTCCAGCTGTTCGAAACTCGTGTTCTATGACAGAGATGAAGTATTGCGTATCACTACCTTTCAAAGACAAGAAACAATATAACTTATCTATGCTTTAAAAGGAAAGTATTTTTTTTTGTACAAAAGATGAATTTCGAAAACAAGACTAGCGGAACAGCATTTTCTTTCCTTTTTTGATGCCTTTGCTCCATTTTGAAAGTCCAGAATTATGTAAGTATCCCGTCTTCAGCACTTGCTAGGTTAATCATTTTCATCTTTGATTTTTATCACAGTCTTTCCGTGGACATGACGAGTTTCCTGAAGTCGGAAAGCTTTTCTCACTCCCTCTGTCGTGAAGGAAAACGGCCCTCGGGAATCCATAACTGCCTTCAATGTTCCATTTTCTGCCATGTTCATGGTACGCGTCAAATGCGATCGTTCGAATTCAATACTATGGGCAAACGTGTATTTAGGAAGGTGACCTCGACCCCATAACCTAGATTTGAAGAATCTCCATAATGGAAACAGCAAAAAGGGTTTCAAAATCTCCATAATGGATTCGGCCTTAAAAATGGCCTCGTCGGGTGTTAGTGTCAGGTATCTACCGCCCTGCGATGCGGGTTTCACGATCGACTTCTCTTTGTTCTTATAATCTTCCAAAAGCCGAAGCCAAGATCCCCCGGCAAGATCTACGACGACATCGAAGGGCTCATCCTTGAATTCTTTCATTGAGAATGGATCCTCCTTGCTGTAGTTAACAGCCTTGTCGTATTTCAAGGGCTCCTGGAGCAGACGATCGGGTTGCAACGAGGCTCCCACTAAAAGCGACGCCCCTTGTTTCCTCATAATCTGACATGCATGGCTACCCACGCCACCGCCTGCACCCATTATGAGCACACGTTCACCTTCTTTTATTCGTTCTGCTAACAGGGTAGCTGGGCATACCGAAGCTAAAATCGCTCCTTCTTCGAAAGAAATATTGCTGGGTATTTTTTCCATAACAGTGGTATCTACAACAGCAAACTCCGCCAAGGCACCTCGTGGACCCTCTGTGAAACGAGAAGCGACACGATCTCCGACTTTGAAAGGGAAGTCAGGGTCGTTCGAAGCCTCTGGTGGTATTTTACAGACAATACCCGAGCAATCTCCACCAGGGATGTAGGGGAAAGACGGAGGCCCCTGAAACTTCCTTGTTTTGCCACTTAAAACTCGACAGTCACCACAAGCTAAAGCCACAGCTCGAGTCCGAATGATGACGTGTGTTTTTTTTTTCTTTGACGGCAGGTCGTCAAGACTTGGTATCTCAATGTCTTCAACCGTCAGCATGGTATCGATGGCACCAAGTTCTTTGCCCTGTGCTGCCTTCATCGTATCTTGGGTTTGGTGGGGTAGGTGATTATCCTGTGTATTGAGTCTAGCGAGGCATCATTTTATGAAAGTATCCACGGCACCAAATCGGTGTCTGTCGACTGCAAAGACGGTACCGCATTGCAACGAGACTGAGTGTAATGATCTTTTTTGCAGCCTTCGTTAAGTGTTGTATTGGGTTGTAAGTCGCCGATACAGTACGACTCAAGATTCAAAATTTAATTGAGGATCAGAAATGGATCATTCTTGAAGGTTCGCACCTCGAAAAGGTGACGCGATGGCATCGCGGTTCCTTCTTTCAGATCTAGAGCTACTAACTCGTACTCGTACTCGTACGCGTAAAATAATGGGTCATTCCCGATAATAGATGTGCTACTTTTGATAGACTGACAGACCGGAAATTTATTACATCTGTAACAATTTTTATTTCATTTGATTCAGGCCAAACCGACCCTATCAAGGAACAAAATTTCAAGTCCGTTGAAAGATTCAACAGAAAGGCCTACCAAAACTTAAGACAGAAGCAACAAACTTAAGACTCGTCTATCTTAGTAAACAAGAAAAAAGAGAGGCGCCTCTAATAAGGCACCTTCAAGACACATGAGGATACTAGTAACAAACTATGTCCCGATCAGTGCTCTTAGTCAGTACTTCGTACTTTCTATTTCCTTTCTCTGTTGTAGCAAAGAGAGCAATGGTACAAGGAGTAGGAGGCTGGCGACCTCAAAGAGGGAGCTCATTGTCACCCAACTGATCTCAACAACAATAAACAACAAGGAGAGGAGGCCCATTGTCCAATCCCCCGTACTATTTTGTTAGTAGTATTAAACAAAAACAACAAGATGGCAAAAGCTGGAAATATGGGCTGGAAGGCTGGTGTGGCAAACTACTCTCATGATGAGCTACACAGTCTCATGGGCATGATACTTGACAGGCTTCCCATTAGTGGAGACGACTGGGATCTCATAGTGAATGATCATGCAAAAATTTGTTTTTTGGCACTTCTTTTTGACCATAACAAGGGTAAACAAAGGCTTCTTTTCTAATTGTTATTCCAAGTAAAACTTTAGCAGGATGTAACCTCAAAATAATTTCATCAACCTCTTGGGTGTGATTAGGGGAAACCTGTTCATGCATACTGTGTAGTCCAGAGTGTAAATTTGACAAACTTATGCCACAATCATCATGTAAAGAAATTCCACTCAAACTTGGACACTCCAAGAGACACAGGGTGGGGATAGTCTGCATCACAGTTAATCCAGATAGAAACCTCACAAGAATCTGATAAACCTCTTGGGTATGATTAGGGGAAACCTTTTCATGCATACTGTGTAGTCCAGGGTGAAAATTTAACAAACTTATGCCACAATCATCATGTAAAGAAAATCCACTCAAACTTGGTGGACACTCCAAGAGACACAGGGTGGATAGTCTGCATCACAGTTAATCCAGATAGAAACCTCAAAAGAATCCAATGAACCTCTTGGTGGATATGATTAGGGGAAAACTTTTTATGCATAATGTGTTGTCAAGAGTAGAAATTTGTCAAACTTAGGACAGGACCATAGTTTTCAGAAATAACAACTACTGTACTACACTTCTAGTAGTATGAAGGATTATCCTCAATACATCAAGTACACTTAGGAGACACCAAAAAATAGACCAAGGGGAAACATTGTAATGCCTACTGGGTAGTTTAGGGGAATAGAAATCTACTAATAATTTGGCTGGTATGCCTACAATGGGAGATATGTAGTACATATACTACTCAGAATTATTGTTTGTGTTCAAAATATTGATGGCAGTTGTCTACAACTTCAGTCAATGATCCAGTGCATCACTTCAAAGCCCTTTCCTGCCTTGACTTGTGCTTTTCTTTGAATTGTCAACTATTCAATGAGAGGGTGTCTGACAACCTTTTGAACAATGTTGAATTATCCTCCTTTGCTGGGTGCACATTGTTATGGTACGGACACCAAGCTGATGCAGGACCTTATCCAAACTGAACATCATACTGGCCATTTAGGGTTGTTTCTAAGAAGTTGGCACTGACTAAACTTGGTCATAGTACTGAACCTGCTCATTTTTTTGTTGTACTTGAAAGAGATTGCTACCTTGTCACCAACGTCAAAATTTGGGAACAACTTCACAATGGGGTCTGACTCCTCCAGATTTACCTTGTATAGAGAATCATGCCAGGTCTGACCATTCAGTGGCTGGGGTAAAACAAAGTTCAAGCCAACGTTGGGGACCATTTCACCAGTTGTTTTAGTCCAGTAGTTGAGAGAACCAGGTTTTGCTTGTTTTGGCTCTTTTCAGTCTTCCTTTCAGAGACTTTCTTTTTCAAGCTGGGTGTATTGGGGTGGCAACACAATTGGAACCACTGGGTTGGGAAGATCAACCATCTGGATACTGGCTGGATCAATGAGTTCATCATCTTTGTTGTTGTCTCTGGAAGCAACAGAGGGATTACTAGCTCCAGCATTCGTCCTTTTCTCATTAGCATACATGGCCCCCCACGGGAGTTTCAATCAGATGTAATGAACCTTTTGGCATTCTTGGGACCTGACGTCAGAATTTGTCAGCATATTCCATCTATTAGTATCATAAACTATTTTCTCAACACTCCCCCTGCTGACCAACTTCTGGAGGGCTATGTCATGTACAAGATTTCCCAAAAAGATCTCCATTTTTGTGATGCATTGTTGCTTTTACAAGATCTATCTGAGGATAGGTAACTACAATTCTTGACACCATGATTCCACAATTTTTTAGATCCATAAAAGGTGTCTGAACTTCTTGCACAACTACATTATAAAGAAATTGGTGGGGGTAATAGTTTCTTTGTTGCCTATTGCAATGTCTACTTCATGATCCTTCTTGTGCAAAAGGCAGGACATCAGGTGTGGTGAACACAAATTCTGTCTCAGTTGGAAGACGGAAGATTTGTAAAATGATTCCAAATAACTTGTTATGGAACACACAGTGTGAGAACACACCATCTGAGGACTTGACAACAGCAAAGGCACGTTGTGGTAATTCCTACATTTTTCAAAAATTACTGTTGGTAGAAAAATAGGAAATGAGGAAATGACCATATCCGGTAATGCCATTTTGTTTGGTCTATTGCTGTGTATTTTTGAGTTGGTTTTCAAGATAGATTAAAACAGCTATGGGTGAAACATAAGGGAGTCAAGACAGGGATGCTCAGATGACAGGATGGTTCTTTCCTAATGAAGGCCCATATTGTTCTTAGATATGGACAGTGGTGTTGGACTAGTAGGTTGATGATTTGGATATAAAAACTACAAAGAAGTCTGTCTGCAGCCTGCCCCCTGATTTTGATTGGGAGAAATAGGATTGCATGCATGCTAGATTTTGAATGCCGTACAAAAGCTACTACTGTTATCCACAGAAAGGAGCTACAATGCAGCAGAAAATCATTGATACATGGAAAAGGTTTGCATGCTGGCCAGGGAAAAGGAATGGCAGGTAAGAGTGTGCCCCAGTTTCACACATGTCATGTCCTTGTATGTGTACACAACAAAGATACTCGTTGTATGAGTTTCACATAAAATTGATCTGGTGACCTGAAAACTACTGCTACTACAGAAGGAACAGGTTAGATATTATCAACAGTATCTGACACGAAGTACATTAGGCATTGTGTGGTTCAGACATAGATAGAGGGAGTGTGTGTGTTTTGTCAATGGCCACCAGCTTGAAGTAGAGACTAACACAAGCTAACCAGTTATATACCACCATTTCAACCTGCTGCATGTTGGGGAACTTTGTATTAAATTCATCTACAGATCATTGTTATGACCTTGCAAGTAGTCACACAGAATGAAAGAACAGGAGGAGAGGATGGTGATTGCTTGTGACGCAATATTATGTCATTATGAGACAGTGTTAAAACAGATGCTATGTAACTACGTAAATAATGTCTTGTTCAAGCACACAAAGTTCTCAGTTCCAGATAAAATTGAGGAAAACATAGTAAAAAAAGGTAAAAGAAACGGTGCAGCAGATGTTCCAGAGGGCTTAATTGTGTCTGCAACTTGTTGTGCAGGAACTGTTAACAGAGCAGTCACTGTCTGTAGACATAACAAATAGACTCTGGCTAGGAAGAATTACAAGGGTAAGGTACAGAAGTTGTGAGCCATAGAAGAAGTATTTGGGTCTAATGATTTGTTTCCCTGTTGGTTATGGGTGCATGACAAAACAAATAAGGTTTGGTTCTGGCTACTTTTAGGGGAAATTGTTTCATAACAGAATGCAAAGATGGTTTGCTGTTTGTGTTGAATCAACAAGAATACAAATCAAAGAACAAACAAGAGTTCAATTACTTCAAGAGACAGATATAAGGGGCCATATCTCCAAAACAAAACAATTTCAAGCAGAGAAGACATAAGAACACATTGAGCAAAATTTTCAGTGCAACAGACAAGGCATTTGCACTCCTGTTCTTGTACAACAACTATTCTGGTGGAAATGGGAAGAAGACATGAAAACAATTCACGGATAGTAGAGTTGGCAACAAGGAAGGCTGGAGCCTTCAGGGATGTATGCTGTTCATGAAGCTTTTTAAGGAGATAGTAAAATGGAGAGCAGAAGACAACACTAGAACCATTGAGACAGCACTCATGGCTTAGTATCATGATACCATGGGTGAAGACAAAGAGGAGAGGGAAAATGAAGTAAGAAAACTGCAAGAAGATGAGAAGTTATTTTCTCAGTCAGAAGTGCAGGATAAGAGTCTCTTTGAAAGAATTGTTGAGCATGGCAGTATAATTAGTTAAATTCTTATAATACTATTAGTTGAGAAACAACAAAGAAGATAGAATAATACAAAATGCAGTACTGCAAGTTTATTGAAAATTAGAGAGAATTGTTTCACGCCAGAAAAAAATGGCAACTGAGAAAATAGGAATCTGGAAGTGTCGCAACAGAATTGTATTGAGATATCAAATTATTTGTCATCAGGATAATGTTGGAAACAGCACAAGAAAATAACTTTAGCTAATTTGCTTTGATGCTTCAAATGTTCTTCAGAAACTTGACAATATGATGGTTATCTTGTTGATGCTAGGAGAAAAAAGGATGAGAAAGAAAAACATAAGAACCCCCAAATTGAGCA